TGCCCTTGACTGGAATCAAACCCAGGACCCTTCAGTCCACAGGCCCACGCTCTATCCACTGAGCCAAACCAGCTGGGGCAAGGGGGTGGATGATCTTCACCAGAGGGGCAACAGGGGCTCCCCAAACCTACCCTCAGCAATGCTGATCAGGGGACAGGGTCTCCTTTGCAGGAGACTCATCCAAAGGCCCAAGGCCTCCCTCAAGAGTCACTCACATACAGCTCGGGCCTCCAGCAGGCTGAGAATGTCACAGAAGCGTGGGGAGGGAGAGGGGTTTTGTATTTTTGGTCTGCAACCCTCTGCTCATAGAAAGCATGAGGATAACTCACATGGCTTTGTGGAGAGCCCTGATCTCCAGTATAAGATGAGAGAATGCATCAGCCTACTCGAACAACTTCTCTGGAACAGGTTTCTACCCAACCACGCTGGGCAAATGAGACAGGTAAACTGGGGGGAGGGAGGGAGGATAAGAAATGACAACAGGCTCATTTGCATAGATGAGCGATAAGCAGACATTTGTTGTCTTCAGGTCTGGCAACTCCTGGCAACTCCTGGCACCGGCCTGGCAAATCAAACCCAGCCATTCTCCCTCTCTGTTGCCCCCACACTCTCACCTGCCCCCCGCCCCCCTCACCCCTGGTCCCAGCTGTTGACGGGGCTGGGGGCCTGGGGGAGAGAAGCCGAAGAAACGCATTCGTCTGGTGCAGCCTTTCGGCTGGAACCGTACCGCACCTGTTCAATCCGGCTCCGGTGCCAGAAACGACCAAGCAGGGACTTGAAAGCCCCTCTGGAGATCCCCGGGCGGCGCCTACCAAGTTCGCCGCTAGTTAGGGCGGTGGGAGATGCCTCCTGATACTGCCAGACTCAGCTCGTCATCCCGAAAAAGGGACAGGGCTCTGCTTAGGTGAACCCAGCATGATCCCCGTGTGCCACCGCAGCCCCGTGTCACCGGGGGGGCTAGCGGGTGGGTACCCTCGGGGAGCGCGCCGCCGTGGACCCCGTGGAATGAAGGTCCCGCTTCGGTAGCCACGCGCACTGCCTTCACCCTACCCCCAGCACAACGCGGACCAAGTGGGAGCGTGGAGAGGCCGCCGGGATTCGTCAGAGGCACGGAGTCCCCGAACCCGAGCCCCCGAGGAGGGTCCAGGGAGGAGGGGCCGCGGACGCGCAGGAAACTTACCTCACTCGGGCAGCATTCGGGCGCCTCCGCCGTCGAGACCAGTTGCGCCACAGTCTGCAAGTTATTGGGGTGTTGTTGCTTTTCCCCGGCGAAGGGAGAGCAGTGCGGGCGAGGGGCGCGAG